GTTATTGAATATGTGCCCAACGCTGGTTCAAGGGCTACCCATGTTGTCATTCCTTTAATGTCACAGAGACTCACTCAGGGAGGTTATAATTATTCCCCATTTTATATGTATGGGAACTCAGGATGTACTTGGTGGTCAAGAACATCCAAGTTATAGAGAGAGAGTCAACACCCTGTGTATCACTGGTACTATTAAAATAATTTAAATAATTTAGTGACATTATATGATTTGTGTTGCTACTACTGCTTTCACAAATGATGATCATAATAAAGTTAAATTTAGAAACTAAGCACCATGAATATTATACCTTTTCCTCATCTTTGCTTAGAAGTTCTAAACATTCTGATTAATTTTCATTTTGTCTTCAACATCTTCATTCAATAATATGACTATTTTCCAAAACCATAGGTTTAAGTGTTATTTTGCTGRTTTAAAATCTACTATTTCAAATAGTACAATTGCTTATTATTCCAAATACATAAAATATGCAATTTTTTCTCATTTACTCTKTTACTCTAGGAAATGGTTTGTGTATTTGTTTTTTCCTGAAGTTACTTTGCCCTTATCTTCTCTTTGTAACTTCAAACTTCAACCAGAGAGTTGTTAGATAGCAGCCAATTCATCATTCACGTTAGACTCAAGTTTTTCATCATCTTAGAGAAATACTTTCTGCCTCAAAATATTTTTCAGGCTTCTATTAAAGATATTCCCTTTTTATAACAGGTCTTTCAACTATCAATTAACTCTTACTAAATTTTACCTATTTTTTTCCAAATACTTTCTCAAGCTAAAAATACCAAACTCATGGAAATGCACCCAACAAATCTTTAAAAGTTCAGTTCAATATTATTATCACTTATGTAGCTCTGAAGAATAGCATCTAATCTGATTTAATTGCCTTACCCAAGTGTTTTTATTAGCTCCTATAAATATGAACTGTTTTTACCATGTTTCAAATCCTTCTTTTCCTCTTTATTTTTTTCCTCAAATAAAATAAACTTTTTTGTTTATTTTATTTGAAATCCTTGAAAAAATTTTAAGTACACTTTGTCAGTGTCGCCTGTCTTACAAACAGACTTGGACTTAGGTAATTGCCTGTCTCTTCTTTAGTGATGATATTGGGTAGAAGCACTGATGAAACATTCTGATCCTAGCCCAAGCTATAGTGTCAATGCAAGGAATGCCCCATGGTTGGCTTTATGTAATAGAGAACAAGATCAGCTGAAGATCTAACATTAATGTATGTTATGGTTTGGATATGAGGTGTCCCCCAAAAGCTCATGTGTGAGACGACTCAAGGAGGTTTGGAGGAGAAATGATTAAGGTTAGAGCATTAACCTAATCAGTGAATCACTCCCTGATGAGATTAACTGAGTGGTGACTGGAAGCAGGTGAGGTGGGGCAGGAGGAAGTAGTTCATTGGGGGCATGCCTTTGAGGCATATATTTTATATCTGGTGAACAGAGTCTCTCTGCTTTCTGATTTTCAAGTGAGCCACTTCCCTCCATCATACACTTCCATCATGTTGTTCTGCATCACCTCAAGCCCCTAAGGAACAGAGTCTACTATCTATAAATTGAAACATCTGAAACCATGAGCCCCCAAATAAACTTCTCCTCCTCTACAGTTGTTCGAGTCTGATCTTTAATCACAATAGCAAAAAAAACTGACTAAAACAATGTGAAGAAGAAACCAAAGAAAGATGGAAAATGTTTAACGTATGGTGGTGAACAGTGGTTGGAATATATGATCAACTGTTTATGGAAGTACCTATAGTTTGGTCTTTGCTGTACTAAAGGGCAGAATCAGAAAGAATAATGTGTGGAAGTTACTGGACGGTAATTTTCAGCTAAAAGACAGAATTAGCTAAGTATAGATATTAAAAAATGGAACAGGGCACTTCCTGGAGGAGAGAGAGCCATATGTAGAATGCTCAATTTGGATTTCCTCCAGCAAGGAGATACTTAAAACTGGGTGACCATATAATTTATTTTCTAAACATGGATACACTTAAGGGTGAAAGGATAACAGTTGTGAACAAGGAATCCAATGCAAATTAATCTACATGTTACCTTAATTCACCTTGCTCTAGACTAATTGTGAGGACTCGTTGTCATATGTAGCATAGGAAAAGACTGACCATAGCTGGGAAAGGGGGACACATGGAAGCTTGTAGGGAGGCTGGGGCAAATCTGTGATCTTCTCATACCCCACCTTGATAGGAGGATGAAATCTAAAGCCTGATATTAAATAGAACTACAGAGTCAGCCTGTACATGAGCCAAGTGTTAAGGTCTACAGGTATCCACTGGGGAAAATTCCAGAACAGGACCATTGTCTCCACAGCCACAGAGGGTTGAGTATATGCTCTGCCCAAGCCAAATTATCCAGGAAGTTCTACAGAGCATAACATTAAAAAAAAAAAAAAGTAAGAAGAGGACCAACATCAATGGACTAAATTAGATTGTGAGGTGACAAAGTGGAGAACAGGACCAGCATAACAACAGAACTTCCTCCTCATATTGTTAGCACCCTGAGAAAAATGGAGAAGGACAGGAGAAATGGGGAGCAATTTTCCTAAGTGTGGCCTGTGTTAAATCAGATAGGTTGAAATTTTATCTGATACCCATTCCTTCTATTCCAAATGGCAAAAGGTTAATTTTTTTAATATTTATTTATTTGGCAAAACTTGATAAAGAGAAAGTATCGAAACCAAGACAATGAATAATTAGTTTCAAAGAAGGAACAGAAAATTGAGAGAGAAGAAAGTTCTGAAATTTTGTCTTAATGAACAGAACAAATACATGCAATTATTTATAATGAAAATTACACTGTGATCAGGTTAGTATTACAAAACATCTCAGAAGTCTGGCTGCTCACATTGTGACAGTCACCAAACAAAAAAGTTAATTTTTACTATTACAACACTATTGCAATCTGTAACGTATTTTAGAAGATTATTAATATGCATAAACATAAATTTACACTTACTGACTGCAGCAGGCACTAACATCTGGGACCCAGTTCCTAGTCCTCTTTTTCCACTTTATCCTCATGCTGAATGGGCACCTTTCACTTTGCCATGCCACCAATTTGACTCAGGAAAAACTGACTCCGCCCCCACAGTAACAAGGAACCAGTTCAAATAATCTCAGTCCCCTGCCCTGTGATTGCTCAGCTCAAACCAACAGCATCACATACCCTCATCAACGTTCTTGGTGCAGACACAGGGCCTAAGTCAGACATGTGTAATAGAAAAGCTATCTTTCGGCATGAACAAGGGCAAGAGTATTGCCCCAGTTGCTGTTAGCCACCATCAGAGGAACTTGATGGAATCCCGCCTGTGAATAAGGTCACCACCTGAGGGGCAGAATCTAGGGAAGTGCAGAATGTCAGAGCCAGAGCTCCGTTTTCACCAGGTGTTCCCTACCTRCAGCTTCCCTTTGGGTGTGATAACTTCCTGTGTTAAGCCATTTTGAGATGGATTATCTTGACTCCAGCTGGAAGCATCTGGAAGCTTCCTTATGGATCCATAAAACAGTGGTTGCCAAACATGTCTGCATTTTGAAATTACTTGAGGATCTTCAAAAATTGCTGATGCCTGTATTCTACCCAGGAATTATGATTTATTTGTCTAGTGTGGGGTTGATAGAGCCAATTAATCTCTAAACTTCCTTTCTTCCTGGGGATTCTTGCCTAAAAAAAAAAAAATAGCACTGCCCAAGACCCTGAGATCCTTCAAAGTGACAGAGAATACATGTTCCCACCAAGACTCTCTTCCCCCCCCCATAATGAAGGAGGGACTTTTACTCTTTGTAACAACATTTGAATTGCTTTCCAGCTGACCTGCTTGAATTTCTGCTTGAATTTCTGCTTGATTGTCTCATCTGTATCACATTTCAGAAGATGTGTTAAAGAGCCTCCCCTAGTTAAAATGGTAATATGTATCTCCATAATATGTATCTCCAGGTGCTTTGGAGTATCAAGGGGCCAGACTGAATGGCCACTGTCCATAGAAGCTTCCTTTCTTAATTGGCAGAGTTAGTAAAAGGGAAGAAATTAAATGCCAGAGAAGGAATGGAGACTTCATTATACTGTAAACATGCTCTGCCTCCTGTGAGCCTCTGTATCCTGCTACATGATACACTGAGAAAAATAATATTTATGTAAATAGTAAAACTTTTGTGAGAATGGTACAAAATAAAACATGTGAAAGAATTTAAAATTAAAAAGTGCTCAGGAATGTAAGCTATATTCAGTATAAGGGGTCCAGAAAGTTAAAAATGAAATCTAGTTCTAACCTTAATAGACACAGCAGTGTTCCCTACCTGCACCATGAAATAGCTTAGGCAGTTACATTTGCCACCAGATCCTCTCTCTGACCTCCCCTTCATCCTTCTTCTCACCACCCTCATAAACAAGCAAGCTTGCTCTGTAAAGTACCTTTAAGACTCATCCTTGCCCCAACTCTTTTTCAAACTGATTGCCACACTCTGCACCATGTCATTTAGAAATCCTAGGCTGCCACTAATCGGCAGGAAATATTTTTGTTGTATTTTTTTTCTCCTAGGTTTTTAGAAGCACTCCACTTCCTCCCTAAGAGTATACCTCTGGGTACCACAATGATCCATCATTCCCCTCTTGAATTATAATGTCTATGGAAAGAAGAATCTCTTGGGAGTCTTGAGTGCTAAGTGAGGAATGATTTTCAGAGAGATGTGTGGGAAATGGTTTCAATATTTGGCAGTTCCTAAAGGCAAGATGATTTGAGATGTTGGCTTTTATAAAAAAAAAAAAWAACTTGATCGGCTCATTATGCTATTCTCTTATTTCTGAAAATATCTTGTCCTAGGAATATTATAGCTGGCAGGTGCACCAAAGTAGGTATTTTATAAGCCAAAGCATTATAATTTTTAGCATATTTCATTCATTTGTCCATGTATGTCACATAAAACACATAAATGCATATATATTCACCAGGAAATAATCTTTCTCTTACAGATATCTCCATTAGATTATACAATTCTGAAACTAAAGACATAGACAATGCCCCAAGAATCGAAAGAGCTGAAAATACTGCAAAAATGTACAAAGTGTCAACCATGAGACGAATATTCGATTTGGCAAAACTTCGAACAAAAAGATCAGCATTTTTCCCAACTGGGGTTAATGTCTGTCCACAGGAATCCATGAAACAGATTTTAGCCAGTCTTCAAGCTTATTATAGATTGAGAGGTAAGGAAAAAGCTGAAACCTGTTTAGGCTTTTTTTCTCTCTTCATCTCTTTTATTTCATTCATCTGTAGAAACTTCCTGAGACTCTCATTTAGCCACAAGAGGGAAAAAAAAAGCAGCCCACTAATCTGATAGTAATGAATAATAAACATCCAAAACTATGGTGGGTATCATCTCYTGTGATTTAAAACAATGTCCTGTGCAACTTGAGATCATAAAGGCACTTGAAAAGTCGTTGAGAGCCTTGATATACAGATTTTACCTCTTTGTTTTACTTTTGCTGAAGCCGATATTGAATTTTAATGTTCTTATGAAGTGAAAAGTACAGAATGATTGCAACACCAGATATCTGAGCAAGTTGATTTATGACTTAAGATTTCATTTTTCAAAAGCAACATTTCAATTCAGATCTCTCCTCATCTCTCTCTCTCTCTCTCTCTCTCTCTCTCTCTCTCTCTCTCTCTCTCTCTCTCCCACTCCCTCCCTCCCTTTAACAAGCCTGCTATTTATTGAAAATCCAGGAAGAAAAAAAAAATCTTCTAATTTTTGGAAACATGGAGGCGGGTTGGAGTGTGGAGGGGAAACAGTTAAGTAAGAGTGACTACCAAGACATAATGCAGGATATGACCAGCTCCCAGCAGAGGCACAGTGCAGCTTCTACCCCATGACAGCTTAACAGGATTCTTCCTGCATTCCCACAAATCATTAAGGGGTTAAATCCCATCACAGCCATCCGTGACTGGTTTTTTATTTATTTATTTATTTGTATACCATAGATGGGAAAAAAAAAAGTCCCAGAGCTGCTTCTTTTAAATAAAAAATAATTTTTCTCTAGCTGCTATTCACTTCTCTGGGTAGCCGCAAAGGACCTATCTCTCTGAGGCCTAAGTTCAACTCATCTTATACATGGAAATTGAGGAGATTATATTACAGATTTCCCACCCTAATCACTCTAGATGCTTGAACCTATTCCAAAATCCAGAGACTTCTTGCTCTACTTAAAGCCCATTCAGTAGAGCAAGCTGGTTCAATTCTAGCCTATGATATGTTGTGTATTTTGGCAACTGAAAACTTATATCATTATACTAACATCCAAAAAGGTCTTAGAAGTCTACATCTACGGGATGAAGATTTGTGTGTGTGGTACTGGGGATTGAATTCAGGAGTTCTCTACCAGTGAAATTCATTACATTCACAGACCTTCTTATTTTTTTTTTTTTAATTTTGAGACAGAGTCTCACTAAGTTGCTGAGACTGACCTCAAATATGCAATTCTCCTGCCTTAGTCTCCTGATATACTGGGATTACAGGTGAATACTACCACATCTGGCTGTCTGTATCTATAAAACATGCACAGGGTTAAATTAATCTGAGGAGTTCTTATTGTATTTTGGAGGCATAATCAACTAAGAATTTCAAAAAAAAATCAAGCCTTATAATTCCTCATATGTCTCATTTTATGTGGAATTAAAAAGATTTGTTTTCTGATAGAAAACACACCCATAGAAAATTGAAAAGTACTGGGTCATAGACAGAAGGAGAACTCCAGTTGTAGGAAAGAAGTACTCTATATAAATATTCTGAGGTCCTGGCATAGCATCTTACCAAAGCGGTTTTTCAATAAATACTTCTTGATGATACAGAAGGCAAATATCCCATTCATTGAAAATGCAAAAAGAGAGATACACAGAGAGAGAAACACATAAATTATTCATTTTGAATGTGCCTATATATTGACAGATAATGACACTGGTAATTTACATAGTATTCACAAATTGAAACATAAACATACAAATATATAGTTTTTTATCACAGTGAACATGAACACTATTGCTAACTATTTTCTTGTAACTTGTAACTCTTTACAACACTCACAAACAGGATTCACTGCAAGTATTTGAACAATAGACTATTTATTGCTGCAACCTAATTTTTAGTCCTGAATTTTTATTCTTATCTCTATTCTTGATTAGGTTTGCCTCTTTCATTCTTGTTTCCCTGGATGAAACAAACCACTGTTTTTCTCCCCACAGCAATGACAGTCCATTATCTTTATAGCTGTCCCTGGGTGATATTAAATTTTACTATTCATCAGCGTGGATTTCTTAAGTCTAACAAATTGGTTCACAAAGAAACAAGAAATAAGACCTAGCTACAGTGTTCCTTTGATGGAGTAACTCACTTACCGATCTCATCACCGCTTTTATAAAATTATCTGTTGACATCTTTCAAACTCAGGGGAGAAAGCTCGCTGTTCCTAAATCAATTGGAATATTGAGCTATTTCTTTTCCAATGCTTAAAGCAACACAAGGGAAAATGCTCTGAGCTCACGCTCATCCCAAAGCACAAATAAAAAAGGAAAGTTTGTTTCTGGCCCTCTCCAGGCTGAGCTCTGTGCTCCTCCCCATCCAAGCATCCAAGCTCCCCGCTTTATAGTTGTGTCCCTTCTGACCCCCACCACACTCATTCCAGGCTTTCCCTGTCTTTCCTATCTCCACTCTCCCTGCATTCCAATATCAAAAGCTAGATTTTTCTTCCTCAGTGACATGTAACCTAGAGTGGATGAAAGATGGGAAGGATCTTTCTACACCAAGCATTGTCCACAGATCTGCAGCAGCTGAGAACTTGTTAGAAATGTAGACTCTCCTATCCCACACCAGACCTACTGTCATAGTCTGCATTTTAATAAGATCCCTGGGTCATCTGTTTATACCTCAAAGTTCTGTAGAGGCACTGATCTGGAAAACATCTAGAGATGTTTCAGATGAGATCTGAAGAAGTAAATTGGCATGATCAGGGGCACAGTTGCCAGAAGAACATGGGTAGGACCCAACATCCTGATTCCCATTCCAGTGTGTGTTCCCAATGAATGTGTACCCAGCCCCATTAGATGTTTAACAAATAGAAGCATAAGCATACAAATCACAGTAAACATGAACACTATTACTAACTATTCACAACTGGGAAGAATTAGATGAGACTAATGGTGTGAAAACGCTTTTTTAGTCCTAAATTTTTCACACCATTGGTCTCATATTATTCTTCCCAGTTGTGAATAACCATCTGCAGGGCTGAACTTCCCATTACAGACAGCCACACTGGCCTCCAGAGCCTCTGTTTCCTGGGGGTGCTGCCTACACATTAAAGAGCAGAGAGATAGGGCCTCTGTGGTCAGATTTCAGGCCTAGGCCAAGACAAATCAACTCTAGTCAAGGGTCAACATACCATGCAGGCAGTGATAGTTTTTTTCATATATCATTGTATCTCTGGCACTTAGATGGGTTTTGACCTAAACTAGCAGGTACACTGGGAAAAAAATGGAAGGGCAAAATAGAGTCCCCAGAAAGAGTATGGAGTATGTAGGAGAGAAGGGTGGTGAAGGCAGTTGACTTGCTCAAGCTGAACAAATAACTCTCAGAGTTTGGATAAATCTGAAAAAAAAAATGCAAGTCTTGTTTCTCTCATGACTGGCATGTAGACCCTTGAGTAGAAATGAAGGCTCAAGAACTATGTGATGGCTGGTACTGAAAAAGACATTGAAACTGATCCCTGATCCTTGCCTGACAAGAGAGAGGTCATAATCACAAAAAGTGGGTTCTCCAGGGGGAAGCTAATTTTTTGCTCCCATGAATGTTGATCCTCCCATTTGGGAAACTAGATGGCACATTTGAGTTGGTAGGACTGCACCCTCTAGGGGAATTACTAATTAAAAAATTAGTTACCTTAAAGGTTCTTATCTGGTTTCTATTGGTAAATGACTTGAGCTTCTACTGATCTGGAATTCCCTTTGCCTTTTAAAACAGAAAGCTTGGGAAAATCCAGACATAGAATAAGTTGGGAGGAAGGAGATAAAGCAATAAAAGCAAGAGTCTCCAAACTGTCCTCTTACCTTGCTCCTCCCCACCACCCCTTTCCTCAGCACAGCAGTCAACTAGTCTTGGTTAGAAAGTCAGATGATGTCAGCCTCTGCCCCAAAGGTTTCAACTGCTTCCCATCCACCAGAGGTAAAAATCCACTTATAAAATTGTTTTATAAATAGGAGTCTTCTGCATTGCTTACTAACTTAACTCCCCAAAACAATTTAACATTATATTCCCCTTTGTACATTTTTCAGTTGATCCCTTTGCAAAGTTTTTCATCATAAGCTTAAATAACTAGAAAGGTTGTAACTTTCTGTGAGTTGTAAATATTGACATTTAAAATAAAACAAGAACAGGCTGGGCTTGGTGGTAGATGCCTATAATCCAGGTGGCTCAGGAGGCTGAAGCAGGATGATAGTGAGTTCAAAGTCAGCCTCAGCAATGGCGAGACACTAAGCAACTCAGTGAGACAAAAATACAAAATAGGGCTGGGGTGGCTCAGTGGTTGAGTTCCCCTAAGTTCAATCCTTGGTCCAAAATAAATAAATAAATACAACAAGAACTGGATCATTCTTACATATCCAGTGGAATCTACTACATCCACTAAATACTCTTATTGAACCATCAAATTCTTTCAACAAATACATAAACAAACTCTTCTTAAGAGAAGGAAACGTTACATGGTCCCCTTTTCACCACATTTCTATTTCACCACCCCCCTCACAGTCTTATTTCAATGTAACTTATGTTATGCTTTAAAATGTTATTGATTGCTCCAAATACTTCTCTGTAAAAAAAAGGAAAAAGTATAAACATTGAAATTACATATTTTTATTTCCCCTGAATCTAGGGTTTATGTCTAAAATAAAATTTTCTGGATTCAGTTGCATTTCTAGTAATCTTTAACATGTAACTGTTTAAAACAAAATATAAAAATTAGACAAATTTCTTTATAATTTTATTGACAGATGGATGTAGGGTAAGATAAAAGTTGTGTAGTTGTTTATGTTTATAAATACAAAAGTATAAATGCCAAATTACAAACAGAGCTTTGGAAGAATCCAGTATAAATGACAGTTCTGTAGCTTAAGCTACCTTAAGCTATCTATCTCTAGATTGATGATGTTGTTTTGGTTTTTCTCCTCTATTAGTTCGTGTTCTATTAGTCATTATTTATATTGTGCCTTTTAAGATTAGATAGAGTTTAGCATAAATTTTATTCCTATTATTTTACTTAATCTCACTTAAGTGCTAAGAAAACTTGCTCACATAAATAAATAGAGGGGAACAAAGTTTTATTATAATATCATTATTTCTTTAATTCCTTTGGCATTATATATCAATAATACATCATGATCTGTCATCATTATTCTTAATGATCTATCAGCTGTCAACTCCCTTAGGACTCCTAATTTGTTGAAAGCAAAGAATCAGAAATCACCTGAGTGGTCAAAATGTGTCATTCTGCATCTAAGTTCACTCCTTTTCTCAACTTCAATGCCATTATTTAAAACCATACATTCCTATGGTAACCTAGTGGTACTGAACCCCGATAAGAGTAGGAAAGGATGAATGAGAGGGAGGATTGTGACCAAAAGGGAACTGAAAAAAAAGAGAGAGATGTCCTTTTAGGAAAGCATGCACAGGGAACATGAGGCCTGGAAACTGACTCCTTTTAAACTTCCATTTGTCTGTTCATCCCTTGGAAAGACTTCTAGTATAGCCAGGGTAACTACCTCAGTTTGAAGACAACTGGTTTCCAAGGCCCTATACAATCTGTAACTCCCTTGCCATATCTTCTTCCAGTCCTCATCCTCCATTATTCTGTGATGCTCTAGCCACACTGACAGACCAGCTCTGCAGAACGGTGACAGCACTGAGGCTGGGTTGGGGGAGTGCTTTCTCTTCCAAATGCTCAAAATGTCAACTTTATAGTGAAGTCTTCCTCATCCACCCTATTTGACATTGCAGCCTTACTTGCATTTGCACATGCATGCTTGTGCATGTGCACGCAGACAGGCACACGCTACATTCCTTATATTCTTTTTTCTCCCATAGCACATAGAAAGGGTCTAACAAATATTTTGTTAAATGAATTAATTTCTATGGGCTATAAATTAGTGTGTCAATATAAACCATAAAAGAATTTTCCATATCATGAGATTATGCTTTGGGGGAAGGGTTTTCTTCTTTAAATGTGGCCATTTTCCACCCCCTAATGGCTCTGTGTTGCAGTGTGTCAGGAAGTGGTGTGGGAAGCATACAGGATCTTCCTGGATCGCATCCCTGACACTGAGGAGTACCAGGACTGGGTTAGCATCTGCCAGCAGGAGACCTTCTGCCTCTTTGACATTGGGAAAAACTTCAGCAACTCACAGGAGCACCTGGATCTTCTTCAGCAGGTAAACATAACCACTTTGTGGGTGTCTAGAACCCTGCCCCTTGCCCTGCAACCCTGGATCCTTTTGAATTGGTTTCCACAGCACAAGCAGCAGTGGAAAAAATTCTTGGAGGTATCTGATAAGACCAATAGGAATTTTATTCCTGCAAAATAATGTTGTACAGGCAGGTTGAAGTGTAGATGAAGGGAGAAAAGAATGAAAATAGACTTTAGCTCTTTAGTTGGCATTATCTCCTGGTAAAATTACTTTCTATCTTTTTTGCAGAGAATAAAACAGAGAAGCTTCCCTGAGAGGTAAGTACCCAAAATAGAGTTCAGCGTGCTCCTGACTTTCAAAAGATCATATAATGGAGTGACACTAAGCTATTGTACCTTTATGATTTTTATATCAGCCACCAAGATCTGTGTAGGTTATTCTGACAATTTATGCCTAGATTGTACTGAAGATAAATTAGTATATAAAAGGGAATTTGTTGAACCTTATAGATTGAGATAGATATTTGTGTAGGAATTCATCACTATCTGATAAATATCATGAATATTTTCATTTATAAGATATAGAGCAATTAAAAGTATTTATAAAATATAGAGCAATTAAAATAGTTTGATTTTTAGAATTTATAGTAAACTATTGGTTACATCAGGAAAATATTTAATACAATCAGAGAGCAACCTGAATTTTGAACACTCACTTGGTATTCTGTAAAGTGTTAGTATTTCTCAAACTAAATTACTGAAGTACTGAGCTCTATCCTCAACAAGAACTGAATATCAAATAAAAAAATTGAAATAAAAAAAAGAAAAAGAAAGCACATTATATAAAATGATTAAAGAAAAGAGGTGTTATTGCCACAATCTAAACTCAAAAATTACATACCTTTTATAACATTTAGAAATCTAAATCTGAAGGTAAAACTATAAGAGAAACACAAATTGGGCCATATGAATTACTAGAAATTCTTTATATTATGCTTCACATTTGCTGCTTTGTTTCTATTCTCTTTGCCACATACCTGATTCAGAATCTTACTAATTTACTCTGTGAACATCAAATCTTATCTCCCTAAGTTATGCCCCTTCCTCCAACACTTTCTCCTCTTTAACTGCTGCTAGATTGATAAATCTGGAATGTTCCTTTTTTCCTGTTCAATGGCATTCAAAAGATTCTCATACCTGCCCCTTGCCTTTCTGAATATCCCACTCTCCATCTTCTGCACACACGTCTGTGCACAGGAGGCTTTTGGTTAGACCAGCCAGTGGGAAGGGAGAAACCAGAGGGAGAGAAGAGAATGAAGTCATCAAATTTAGCAGGGGGGGCACATGCATGCCTGTACAACACACACACACACACACACACACACACACACACACACACACACATAATAACACACATGCACCTGCCAAGTCTCTGAGGGCTCTTGAACTCCTTCAACTTCAGCTCAGTTCTGGTCAGGCAGGTCTTTCCACAGAGCCTTCTCTTTGTCTCGTTCCTGGTATCCTCTCACCCCTCCTGGCCTTGGGGAGGTTTAAGCATCCCATAGTTACTAGCCCCAGGGTATCACACTCTCTCTTATGGATGCTGTATATTTTTTCCACAATAATCCTTGGTGAGTTGTTTCCTCCCAGGCCTTTCACTGCAGCAGAGGTCATACTAATTAAGAACTTTCACCTCTGACCTTTGCAACTTAACTCACATTACCTGTTATTACACTGCAGTCCCCAAGCCACTTCCTCACTGCAGACATCATATCCTGTTCATCTGGGCTGTGACCCCAGACCTTTCCTTGTTGCTTGGAAGAACCCCCCTTCTTCACTCCACCTATGCAAAACCTACTCTCTTTTAATTCCAGGTAGGCCCCCACTTCCCTATGATATCTGAACTGCCTACCTGAACCTGCAGCTATATCTCCCTGAGCTGGACTTTGTACTCTGTGCTTAAATTTTCAGTTAACATTTCCTTGCTTCATCCCATTTCCCTGAGAGAGTAAAAACTCCTTAAGGGGAGGAAACATTTTACACTTCTATGTGCAAAGTTCCCACATAGGTTGCTAATCGGTTATATCTGGTGAGCCACTCTTTTACAGATTTTGGTAAGTTATTRGAAGGGAAAATTATGACTTAAGAATGTCTTAGTACTAGAGTCTGAACTTTATTTGCAAGACAGAGAGATTGACTCCTCTGATTTAAAAATAAAATGATAACTTACTGACTCCTTTATTTTCAAAAAAAATGAAATTAAAGCAGAGACTACCCATGAGGAAAAAAATCAAAAGAATACACCAAGTCTGGATAGAGAAACATTAAAAATTATAAGAAACATTAGCCCAAGTCAGAAAGAGAAAGAAACAGAATCCCTCCATCCATTCCTATGCCTGCCAACATCGCTGGAGAGGAGCAAAAGACAAACACTTTATATTAGTGGCAGTCACCAGGTAGGAAAAAAGAGAGAAAAAAGAAAAGGGATGTTTCTCTTTTATTTCAAACCTTTCCAAGAAGAAAAAAGAGAAATTTTTCTCATCTGACTAGCCCATAAATCTGCCACTTCAGATGACTTTGAAATAAAAGTCAGTGGAAGAAATGAGTGGCCCAGTTTCCCAAGCTATAGCTCCTAGGTGACATACAGGTTGACAGCTTAGTGGCAAAATCACGTCTAGTCATAAATGATAAAGAAACTAGCATCCTGCATAGAGTCCTGCACAGAGTGGGCTGTTGATTTGTAACTAGTACAACAGCCAACACTGTTATAAATCTCTCTTTTGTCATTTTCTTTTCACAGAAAAGTAAAACAAAGACACTAAAGTAATAATAGGAGGAGGAGATCTGACTATAAAGATCTATAAAGTTAAAATGAAAGAAAAAATTGTCTAACTATATACACTATAATGTTTAATATAGTGAGGATTTATTTAAACATGAGCTCCATAAAAACTATTTACTAAGTATAAAACCAAAAACAAAAACAAAAACAAAAACAAAAAACCAGCAAGAATAGCTGGTTGGAATTTCCAGTATGGTCTAAACTTATATTTGGACGTGTACACCAATATCACCATCCATTGTTATTAGTGAGAGCACATGCAGGGATGATTGGTGATACTTTGTATATTACACTTATTAGCACTTTGGAAAATTTGGGTATGGCAGAAATATGTAGGTGGTACTGGGGGCTCTGACCATCCCAGATGATTTTGTAACAACAGAATATCTAACCATTTCTTTTATTCTTCCCATCATGATAAACCACAGAAAATTAGATCAAATACATTTTACTAACACAGACACAATCCCTTGGGATCTAACAGCTTATAGAAATAAATCTTTCAGCAAGTTTCAAAAGATACAACTACAATTACTCCTTTCCAGATAAATCTTGCTAAACTGTACCCACATTAGATATGCAAACAGCTCTACCACCACGACCTTTAACCTGCACTGGAATATCTTCCATGTGGCCATCCATGGTACAGCAACCCAACTTCCAAATCCCCAGTTGGTACCACTGTAGCAATTGGTGGGTCCAGGATACAGATTTAATATATCTTTATTATCCAAAAACCTAAATCTTTCCCATTACTGTAACCTCAAGAGTTACTTTATTAGGTAAGTAAGTATAATACTACCTTGATTGGCTGGTTTGAGGATCTGAGATTTTAGGAAGAATATGCCAGTCACAGATCATGTCATCTCTTACCTTTGAGGTCAAGGACACAAAGAGACTATATAACATCAGGCCCCCCAAACCAGTTTTTCCTACTATGGAAATACCCCCACCCCCAAGATCACACAAAGCCAAGATGCTTATAGAGAAACTTGCCATCAGACATAACCATTTTGGGGGCAGGGTAGTTAAGTTTTTCTTCAATGGGAAGTTATTTGAATAACACTTTTGTGATTTTTTTAAAAGGTTAAATACAGTTTAAAAGTGTAATTTTTTTCTCTATTTTTTGGATCTATTCAGCATAGGCAAATCTGTAGGTTCCCTATTGTCATCAAATTCTTTTCATCACTTTTTCTTTCTATTGTGCTAATAGAAAAGATGAACTGTCTATAGAGAAGACATTGGCAGACCCTGATGAAACTGCTGGGTTTTCAACAGGTAAGTTCAGAGCTCATTTCATCTGCTACTGAACCTTGATTTAAATAATCATGAAAGCATGTTATTTATAAAGGAATCCTTACTCAAAGTTGACAAGAGTTTACAATGTATTTTTCCAATTCTAACTGGTTGTTCTAACCTTATAAATAACTTAAATTCATTGCATAAAATTTGAAAATTAAAAAGAGAATAAAGGTGAAAGTCAACCTTTACCCATTTTCCTACAAGATGGAGGTAACCATCATCAGCATTTTAGCCCATTGCTGCCATCAGTCCTCTACTATGTTTATATGTTATTGAAACCATATGAGAGTTGCATCATTTTTTCCACTTAACAGGACATAAAGAACATTTCCACTAAAACTTTTACAAAATAACCATTTTAATAACTTCTAATATCCTATTGCATCTGTAGAAATGTAATCAACTATTCCAACATTGTTAAATGTTTATATGCCATTACAAATAAAGTTTAACTAACATATTTAAGTATAAATCGTTGTGAAATAACTCATTTCTCAAAGTAGATTACTAAGCTCCTAGAACATTGAATGGATGTTATCAAATTTGTCTTCTAAAAATATTGTCACAATTTAAATATCCCATTGTTCAAAAAGATAAGAATTTCCATTGCACACTTGCCAGTTTTGTATATGATTATTTGTTTCAATGTTTACCAAAAGGAAAGAGGAAACAATTTTTTCTGTGTTCATTAAATATGGGAACATTCTCTTTCAATTTTTACTGTTGTAGTCTACCATTTTCCCATATAATTTAATAATATTTTCAAATACAAAAAAAAAAAAACTTTTGTGCAATGTTTTCCTCAGTTTCTTTGGTTTTAACTTATGTTAATAATGTCTTAAAAGTCAAATGCTGACAATTTAAAATCTATAAACTGAGAAAATTGGGATTTTTAAACAAGTGATAATATCCCAATTCTTCACTTACTGATATTCAGAGAAAGCTACTACCTATATATTTTAATATCTCTCCTACCTTCAATTAGTTTACCATTTCTAGACTGACTTGTAGCTAATAATGGAACAAATCTAGTTCTATATCAATTATAAAATGTTAATAGTAAGATCTGCCTCACTGACCTGCACAGGAGCTCAGGCCCAGGGTAGGCCTGAGTCCGTCCTTTCACCAGCAGACACCTGCCAGAGTCAGGCCCAGCCCAGATCTGCCTTGCTGACATGTGCAGCAGCCAGTACCCAGAGTAGGCCCCAGTCCATCCAGCCACCAGCAGACACCCACCAGAGCATAGGCCTGGCCTAGGCTCACCTCACTGACCTGCGCAGAAGCCAGAGCCAAGGGTAAGCTTGGGTCTGCCCCACCCACCACAACCTGGGAGCCCAGGTCTAATCCACTTTCATCTTGAAACACTGCAGTCATCCCCATAGCCTTCTCCATGCAGTAGCCTCTACTTTGGAAAAACAGACAGGGCCTAACCTAGAAGCAGCTGCATCGTGGAACAGGCATACTAAAGTCAGTGTAAGGCCCTCCCTTTAAGCCCCATCAATGAAAGATGTTGCATCCATCTTGGGGAACCTGCTCTCTCTAGTTATCTCCTGTCGCCACCTCCTATAGTTGCAGTAGCATCCATCCTGGGACAACAGCAGGATCTGAAAGCCCAACAACAAGGTGAGGTACAGATAACCTGCACAGATACTACAAGATTATAGGGTAGACACATCAAAGAAAGAAAACTTCAGACCAATATCTCTAATGAACATAGATGCAAAAGTTCTCAATAAAATTCTGGCAAATTGAATACAAAAACATATCAAAAAGATAGTACACCAGGATCAAATGGGCTCATCCCAGGGATGCAAGTTTGGTTCAGCATATGGAAATCAATAAATGTAATTCATCACATCAATACACTCAAAGATAAAAATCATATGATCATCTCAATAGATGCAGAAAAAGCATTTGACAAAATACAGCACCCCTTCATGTTCAAAACACTAGAAAAACTAGAGATAACAGGAACATACCTCAGCATCGTAAAGGCTATCTATGCTAAGTCCAAAGCCAACATCATTCTAAATGGAGAAAAATTAAAAGCATTCCCTCCAAAAACTGGAATAAGACAGGGATGCCTTTTTCACCACGTCTATTTAACATATTTCTTGAAACACTGGTCAGAGCAATTAGACGAAAGAAACTAAAGAAATACAGATAGGTAAAGAAGATCTCAAATTAGCACCATTTGCCTACAACATGATTCTATACTTAGAAGACCCAAACAATTCCACCAGAAAACTTCTACAACTAGTAAATGAATTTAGTAAAATAGCAGGATATAAAATCAACACACATAAACAAAGGCATTTCTGTATATCAGTGACAAATCCTCTGAAAAGGAAATGAGAAAAACTACCCCATTTACAATAGTCTCAAAAAAAACCTAAAATACTTGGAAATCAATTTAACAAAAGAGGTGAAAGACTTCTACAACAAAAACTACAGAATGCTAAATAAAAAAAAATAAAGAGAAGACCTTAGAAGATGAAAAGATCTCCCTTGTTCTTGGATAGGCAGAATTAATATTGTCARAATGACCATACTACCAAAAGCACTATACAGATTTAATGCAATTCTGATCAAAATCCCAATGATATTCCTCATAGGAATTGAAAAAGAAGTCATGAAAGTCATCTGGAAAAATAAGAGACTCAGAATAGTTAAAACAATCCTTAGCAAGAAGAGTGAAGCTAGTAGCAACCCTATACCAGACCTTAACCTATTCTACAGAGCAATAATAACAAAAACAGCATGGTATTGGTGCCAAAATAGACTGGTAGACCAATGGTACAGAATAAAGAACACAGAGACTAACCCACATAATTATAGTTATATTAGACAAAGGCATCAAAAATGTACACTGGAGAAAAGATAGCCTCTTCAACAAATGGTGCTAGGAAAACTGGAAATCCATATGCAACAAAATGAAATAATCCCCTATCTCTCACAATGCACAAACCTCAACTCAAGGGATGGGGTTGTGGCTCAGAGGTAGAGCACTCGCTTAGCATGTTCACTAAAATGCATGAAGCACTGGGTTCGATCCTCAGCACCACATAAAAATAAAGATATTGTCTCTATCTATAACTAAAAAATAAATATTAAAAAAAACTCAACTCAAAGTGTATCAAGGACTCAGGAATTAAACCAGAGACACTACATCTATTAGAAGAAAACGTAGGACCAAATCTCTATCATGTCAGATTAAGCCCCAATTTCCTTAATAAGACTTCTATAGTGCAAGAATTAATATCAAGAATCAATAAATGGGATAGGTTCAAACTAAAAAGTTTCTTCTCAGCAAAAGACACAATTGGTAAGGTGAATAGAGAGCCTACAATTTGGGAACAAATTTTTACCACACACGTCAGATAGAGCACTAATCTCTAGGGTATATAAAGAACTCCAAAATCTTAACAACAAAAAACAAATAACCCAATCAATTAATGGGCCAAGGATATGAATAAACACTTCTCAATGAGAATAGGATATACAATCAATCAACAAATATATGAAAAAATGTTCATCATGTCTAGCAATTAGAGAAATGCAAATCAGAACTACTCTAAGATATCATCTCACTCCAGTCAGAATGGCAGCTATTATGAAGACAAAAAATAATTGTTGGCGAGGACGTGGGGGGAAAAGAACACTCATACTTTGCTGGTGAGACTGTGAATTGTTGCAGCCAATATGGAAAGCAGTATGGAGATTCCTTGGAAAACTGGGAATGGAACCACCATTTGACTGTATCCCACTCTTTGGTCTATAGCCAAAGGACTTAAAAACAGCATACTACACAGGAACACAGCCACATCAATGTTTATAGTAGCACAATTCACAATAGCTAAACTGTGGAATCAACCTAGATGCCCTTCAGTAGATGAGTAGATAAAGAAAAGGTAGTATATATACACAATGGAATATTATTCAGCATTAATAGAGAATAAAATCATGGCATTTGCAGGTAAATGGATAGCATTGGAGAAAATAATGCTAAGTGAAGTTAGCCAATCCCCCCCCAAAAAAAAAAAAAAAACAAATGCCAAAAGTTCTCTCTGATTTAAGGCTGCTGAATCATAATGTAGTTGAGTGGGGGGTATGGGAGGATTATATGAGTTCTAGTTAGGGTAAAGGGGAAAAGGAGAGGGAGGGTAAGGGAGGGAGCATGAGGATAGGAAAGACAGTGGAATGAAATGGACATATTACCCTAAATACATGTATGAAGACACAAATAGTGAAATTCTACTTTTTTGTACAACAAGAGATATGAAAAATTGTGCTCTATATGTGTAATATGAAATGTAACGAATCCTGATGTCATATATAACAAATCAAAATTTTAAAAAATGAAAAAATAAAAAATAAATTAAAAAATAAAAACATGTTCACTYAAAAATTTTCCTCCAGTCCACAGTGTCTTTAGCCATCTCTTTTAGATAAATAGTATCTTCTTGAATTGATTGAATTCAATTGATTTATTTCATGATCTTTTATTTATGTCCTCCCATATTTAAAATAAATAAGGTTAATACTGATAGAAAAAAGTTAATAGTAAAATATACTCCTTAACAATAAAAAAATCACATAGTTGCTGATTCTGCTTATAAGCAAATAAAATTTGACCTGTGATACCTAATAATGAATCTTCTTCAGAAAAGCATTATTTATAGGAGGAAATTTTATAAAACATCCTTCACGTTTACTTCATTTCCCATATTGGAAAACAATCAAAATTAATGAGAGAATTAAAGTTTGTACTTTTATTTTTAGAAGTTGAAGTTGGTATATCTTAGCTGACAGGAGCTTATGTAATAAAATTAAATTTAGTAGAATAAATTAAGGAGTAAATTAAAATTAGCTTTTTTCTCACAAATTAATTTGCATTTTTTTCTTACAAGAAACTTTAGGATACCAGTAGACAAATGATATAATATTTCACTGGTATATATTTGAGTTCCAGCAACAAAGGTTTTTAAATTAATTTTCCAGTGCTCCTGGACACCCAAGGTTGAGGTTCATGCACAAATACTTCTGCATTGTGATAATTTCCAAAATGAAGCTCAGAAAGAACTGCCAAATCCTAACTGCAATGAAAGCAGTTCTCACCATGCTTGGCATCAGTGATGATCTTATGCAGAAAGAGAATAGAACATCTTACTGCAAATAGAGGAATACTTTGAATACTTTCTCTACCCAAAAGAAAACTATCTCTTCCTAAGCCTCACTTTTCACCCCAGCTCTCTACATCATCAATACTGATAAATTTTGCAATTATAGTAAAATTTAGATACATACGTTTATGATTTGGAAATTAAACTTCCCATATCCTTGATCTGAACCTTGAATTCTTAAAGTGTAAATGCAACATTCTCAGGGATAGGAGAAAATTAAATAGGGTCAGACTTTTATTACAATTGAGTTTTTCAATTACACAAAGTTAACTAAACATTTTGGTTACAATAGTTTCCTGAGATTGCATTTTGATAGGAAATATTATTAGGTACCTTAGGTGTGAAGGAAGAATGAAACATCTTCAAAGGGGATTAAAGGCACTAGAAGATAAACCCAGTCTACCTTATAACTGCTCTTAATTTTAATTGTCTGGATAATTTCTCTTTTCATGGCAATAAAGTAGAATAATACAAAAATAACAAAAATGTTATAGGATATTAGCTAAGCATTTTTTCATAACAAAAAAATTAGTATTCACCAATTATTTAGATAATTATTAAACTTGGAAACACCTTAAATTGGTGACATTATAGGGAATCCAGGGATGCAGAACACCTTCAACAGAGTTTTTCATCAAAAATTACAAAAAAAAAAAAAATGCCAAGAACCACATACTAGGAGAAGCTATTATGCYGAAGGATATGTATGTTTTTCTTACCTCAAAAAATCATCTTCTCTAATATTCTATCATATCATGACTATAAAAATAATGATAATTTACTATGAATTTTTTTWAAAAAACTAGGAGAAAGGATTTTGAACATTTCTGCCACAAAGGAATTATGAATGTTTGAGGAGACATTTTTATCCTGATTTGAACAGTACACAGTGCATATATGTAATTAAACCATTATAKGAAATACCATAAGTATGTGTGATTTTATGGATAAATTTAAAGTATATATATATTTTTAAATTACCTTCCTGGGCTACAGATGTGGCTCAGTGGCAGAGCACTTGCCTAGCACACATGAGGCACTGGGTTCAATCCTCAGCACCATATAACAAATAAAATAAAGGCAGTCTATCCATCGACAACTACAAAAAAAAATTAAAAATAAATAAATAAATATTTTTAAAAATTCACCTTCCCAAGATGACTCTAATACCCATTGCCTGTACTCACTAGGAACAACAAACCCATAACAGTACAATGACTTCACAGAACCTCACAGTGACAAGTGACCACTTAACTGCTGATTTCCAGGCACTACACATTCCTCAGCGAGCCAGGAAAGATAATATCACTTTTTGGTATGTCCTGTTTTCTAATGTTTGAAAATAATATATTCCATGTGTTTGCCTAAGATTCAAATGATAAACACTTTCCAGTTATCTGTATACCAATTAATCATAACACTATTTTCCCAGAATGTTTTTAATAACAATTTATTATGAAATTGCAGGAAATGTATATTACAGTAATATTTTTCTTTTCTTGGTTAGAACCTAGACTTCCATTCCATGAGATTTTTATACATATCAAAACATTTGCCAGATATCTGACACAGTTTATGGTGRTCTGTTCTAAACAGGTGAATTGATAACATCTCAATATTCTTTCATCTCTAAAATTTTATGATTAAAATTTTAATGCCCTAATGATTGCTAAAGCAATCTGAGTTTTAAAGACTTGGGTTATATTGTAAGAAAACATGGGAAAGAACAAATTCAAAGTAAATATCTACCTTCACATATTTTAGGTAATCACAAAAAGAAAAACTAATGAGATCTCACTAGGCAGAAGCATTTAACTGCATCATATGTAGAGGGTGCACCAAACTTGGGTCCTGGAAGGAAGAATGAAGAATTTACTGTAATTGAGAGTATGGGTTATATTTTCAAGAACATATTTATGTGACTTTAGAAAAATGAATTCAGAATGCATTTAACATCTATAAACTCCAGAATGACAGAAAAGGCATATGGAATTTTGACCTTGTTCTAATTTAAATTCCTCTAGTCTCATTTTTGTGTCTTTTTTTTTTTCTCCTAATTTCCACAGATGTTGCCAATGGCTCAGTCGGGAACTTTCCTCTTGCTCTTGATGACACACACCTAAATGAAATTCTCGGTAGCCTCAATGACACCAACAAGCCTACAACAGTAAGAAGTTATAGAAGTTCTGAGTCAATCTAGCTCTTCACCTGCCTGTTTCCCCCTCAATACCTAACAGAACCTTACAAACAGTAGGTGCTCACCACGCATTAGAGTGAGTGAATCCATCAATGAATCACCTTCTCCACTATATAACCCCCTGCAAATAAAAAGTCATGTCCACCATGGGTAGGTTAGATAAATATCAGAATGACCAAAACTCTTCAAATCAGACTGAATAAAAATAGAAACTATGTTCTCAGGAAGGGGAGCATGGTCATACTGTGAGTGAAGAAGTATGCAGATGAGAGGATTGTTACAGAATTTAATGTTGATTGTGAAAACAGGGAAATGTTTAAGCTCCCCAAAATGCTTGGAGCCCAGACATCAGTGCCAAGGCAGGGAATCACTGTCCTCATTACCGATGAGTGGTAGGTTGGGGCAGCACAAGGTGGACAGCACACAATTAAAGGGACAGAAACGGGATTGAAAACTAGAACCTGGATCCACATCCTTGATACATTGCCAGAGCAACCCTGCCTACCTGCCCCTGTGGCCTGGGAGACCTCTACCCTTTATGCCATCCTTATGAAGCACAGGTCAGCTGCAGGGCAAGGGCAGAAAATTCAGTTTCTCCAGCTCTGCATGAGAAATCAAAAACCAGAAACATGCTGGCCATTCTCTCTGTCCTTTAGGCCAGATGTCTGAAGGTTTGGTTAAACTACACTATGCTGTTTTTCTCTGAAAAATCCTGCTTCATCAACAGGGAAAGTACTGTGGGAAAAAAAATAATTGACTATAATTCCAAATATATTTACTATAAAAAGTCTAAGATGACTAGTTGATCATTTTTCTCATATGACTTATATCCCATCTTCTTCAAAATCTAATATTTGTCCCTCTCTGTATAAATATCCCCCAGATATTCCATTCAGTATTCATCACTTGAGCTTCTTAACCTTTTTATTGTATATCTATCACCCATTTCTTCACTCAGCAAACATTTTACTAGAATATGCTTTGGACTGTGCACCAAAGATCCCAAGAAGAGCAAGACATAGCCCCTACCTTTATGAAGTTATAATGCAATTAAATATAACAAAATAGTCTAAAAGTTTTGATTGAAGATGGCAGGTATACAGACTGAGACCAAATGATTAAACCAGGCAGGTTGCAGGGGATGCAATCCTTAGTCATGTATATTCGCTGAGTTTTGTGTATAAACTGTCCCTGTGTTTTTTGGTTTGAAAGATTCAGKGGCATATGAGAATCATGCAGGGCAAAAATGTTTGTACATAAAAAAGGCTCCAGGTGAGTATTTGAAGGGTTCTGTCAGTGCTACAGGAGTACAGAGCAGGCAAAGATTTCTAGACCCTAGGAGGTCAGAGGAAGTATTATTTTAGACATACCATGAGTTATTGGTAAGAAGCAAAAAAGCATGTGTGAATGTGGGGGAGGGATGGGGTGTGTGGGGGGGTGATTGCTGAAAATGGGGAGAAGTGAGGAGGGTCTTCAATGAGGAAACTAGCAGGAACATGCTCTTTCTGGGCAATCTGTGAGACTATAGGAGAAGGGAGAGAATTTTTTCAAGCAGGCTGGAAAAAGACTATGGAGAGCCTTAAATGCTAGAAAGAGAGTCTGGGTTTTAAAACCCATAGATAATAGGGAGTCTCTGATGGTGGTGAGGGAGAGGGATGAAAATCTAATCCATTTCATATGTTTTTTATAAACAACACAGAATCTGGGGAAGGATGGGTGGATGGTGAAAGAGGAATATTCATCAAAGGGCACAAAATTTCAGTTAGACATGAGGAAAATTTAGTGATATATTGCAAAGAATGCTGACTCTAATCAATAATATTACATTGCATATTTCAAAATTGCTGAAAGAGTAGATTTAAATGTTTTCTCCACAAAAAAAGTGATGAGTATTTGAAATGATGGACTTGTTAATAAGCCTGATGTAATCATTCCACATTGTAACTATATATCAAAACATCTCATTGGACTTCATAAATATATACAATTATCCTTTGTTAATGAAAATAATCTTTAAATGATAAAGACAATGAAAACTTTAAGTGGCTGAGAGTAACTTCTCAGTAATACATTTTTAAAATGTATTTGTTTCATGTGAATTTCTTTTTTAATTAATTTTTTAATTTTTTCTAATTAGTTATTCATATAAATTTCAAATGTGCCTAATGAATGTTAAGCTTCTAGAGAATAATACCAGATGCCATCCTTTTCTCTTAGTGCCCCATAGATCCTGGCACTGTGATACACACAGATAGTCAATGGATATTTTTAAATGAATGGATGAAATTCTTCTAAATAAATTGTCAGGAGCTGATTAAATGTGGATCCACATCCTCTATGTGTCCCACTACAGCTGGAGGTCATGTCCATGGAAGGGGAGACCTTGTCGCCAGAAATGAGGACATGTCTGCCACCAGCCAGCTGATCTCTGTCCTTCATGGTTGTTCTCTTTTTTCAGCTCCCTTCACTCTAATTTCATTAGACCAGAGACCCACTCAATTTTCTACAGTCATATTTCTTACTTTTTTGAGAAAGCTGTATAGCTGTCAGTGTCGTCTGAGTACTCAGAAAATCTGACAACCCCAAGTTGGAAACTCAGCAGCAGGCTTACTATGTATCCTGGGGACTCAAGTGCATTCAGGGCACTGAGCCACCCCTGCTGGTTTCCAAGCCAACAGGCAAGAAGGATTACCCCTGGCTCTTTGTGATCAAGATCAAATTCCCATCTTCAGAACAGTATTTCCATTCTCAGCCACATGCCTCCAAAGGTGGCCCAAATATGTCATTCCTTCTGAAAAAAATTTCAAACTCTCTTCTGGCCTGATAGGACTTTTTATTTTCAATGTGACGTTTGAGTGCAGATGTTCTAATTAATTCTAGATTCTTCTCTACAAAGGACTATTAAATAGTATCTCATTATCTGCAGGTTACCACGTCTAATCCAATCCTCAGCAAAAAGTATTGCTAAGTCAGACAACAATGTGGTACAATCCTAATGAAGCACCATCAATATATATATGATAAGATAAAATGACTACTTAAGCACCACTAGAGAATATGATGGATTGAAATACAAATTTTTCACTCATAATACTTTGTCTTTACATAAGATTTCCAGTTTTACATGTTGATCAATTTTAAGACATGACATTTTTTATTTTTTATTTGATCTTTTTAGTTATACATGAAGTAGAATGTATTTTGACATACTATGCATAGATGGAGTATAATTTTATTTAAGATTGGCTTATTTCACTTAGCATGATAGTCTATTTAGCTGCAAATGCCATTATTTCATTCTTCTTTTATGGCTGAGTAATATTCCATTGTGTACATGTACCACATTTTCTTTATCCATTCATCTGCTGAAGGGCACCTAGTTTGGTTCCATAGCTTGGCTAGTGTGAATGGAGCTGCTATAAACATTTATGTGGCCATATTACTATATTATACTGATTTTACGTCCTTTAGGTATATACCAAGGAGTGGGATAACTGGGTCAAATGGTGGTTCCATTCCAAGTTTTCTGAGGAATKTTCATACTGATTTGTAGAGGAGATGCACCAACTTGCAGTTTCACCAGCAATGTATGAGTGTGCCTTTTCTCCCACATCCTCACCAACATTTATTATTACTTTTATTATTGATTATTGCCATTCTTAACTGAAGTAATATGAAATCCCAGTGTAGTTTTTTGGGTTTTGTGTGTATGGGTTTTTTTTTGGTGGGGGGGCGGTTACTGGGGATTGTACTTAGTGGCACTTGACCACTGAGCCACATCTCCAGCCCTATTTTGTATTTTAGTTAGAGACAGGTTCTCACTGAGTTGCTTAGTGCCTCGCCCTTTGCTAGGCTGGCTTTGAACTTGCCATTCTCCTGCCTCAGCCTCAGTGTAGTTTTAATTTGTATTTCTCTAATTGCTAGAGATGTTGAATATATATATATATATATATATTTGTTAATTGATTATATATATATATATTTGTTAATTGATTATATTCTTCTGTGAAGAAGACATGACATTTTTCATGCATGATGAGTGAAAGGATATATATGGTGAGGAGTGTTATGTGTATGTGTATATATATATTTTTTTTCATGAAGATTACAGAGTCGTAGAATAACAGTGTTCTCAAGGATTCTATAATAGCTAACTCATTGGAGCTTTGGTACTTAATTTAATTCCTCATTAAATTCAGAGACCTCCTCTGGTCACTAAGACTTTTAATCTAAAAGCACCTGAGCCTGCATAATACACCTCTAGATACAGTATAAATATGTTATATGATATAGCATGTGTTTCTGGCTTACATTAATAAGAATCCTGATTTTTTGACTCAGGAACAAGAGACTGAACTCACTAATGTTTCGGAGGACCCACTGGAGGAGGACCCACTGGAGCAGAGGGTGGAGTTCAGCATCTCTCTGCCAAACCAGAAGTTCAAGGCAGAGCTTGCTGACTCCCACTCCACTTACTACCAGGAGCTGGCAGGAAAGTCACAGCTGCAGGTGAGTGGACAGTGCCACACAACTATATCCCAACAGTGGCACAGAGTGTGGGAGTTAACAGAACACATACCCTTTGGGATAGTAGTTGCAACTTCTTGTGACCAGGCATCCATTTTTAATTATTAAAAAGAAAAGAAACACTACAATAAGTCCCAGAATGTATACAAATTGTCCATTCTATCTTTTCCATTTTTAAATGTTATTTACCTTCAGATTTTCTTTAAACAGTATTAGGCTTTTAAACCTCATTTAATGGATACCCGCAGAAATTCTATATGTCTAAATGATCATTATGATGATGCTTTCATGAGTATATAGTTATCTCAAAACTCATTGAGTTATATACATTAAATATGTTCAGTTCTTTCCATGTCAATCATATATCAGTGATGTGGATTACAATTCTAAAGAAATAAAATAAAATGACTACATAGGCACCAACTAGACAATATAGTGGGTTGAAATATGAATTCTAATACCCAATCTTTGTCTTGACATAATATTTACATTTTACAGTTTGAAGGATTGAAAGACATGACATTTTTTATGAGTGATAAGGAGAAAGCAATTATATTGTCCATGTCATCAATTATCACATGTGTCTGTCCCTGACTAAATTCAAATGCTGTTTTTATTTTCTGCAGGGTAAATCCAATGACTCTGCTGTGTAGTATCTACAAACTGTGATAAGGCCCTTGCCTTCCTTTTAAGCCCCATCTTACACCAGTTTCTTTCATCCCTCCCCTTTGCACTCTATTTTCTAGAAATACAAAACTATTTGCAAATTTTCCTCACTTTTAGGTTTTATATATGCTGCCTTGTTGGTCCAGAATGCTCTTCCCCAAGGCTCATTTTAGGTATACTGTCACAGAGGGTTCCCTCCACCCATTCTGACTTTAGTACCTGTCTGCCATGTTCACAAAAACCTAGTACACTGCTGTCACATCACTGATGACCCTGTCTTGAGGTCACTGTTTACATGTTTATGCCTTTGCTATCTCTATTCTTCCCTCCTCACAAACCACCCTCACCACCACCAGCGTATAAGCTTCCTTCCCCTCAAGAGCAGGAATTGTTTAACCTCTGAAGCCTAACCTCCTAAGGCAGAGCTTAGGACAGTAATTTTATAAATGCCTCTGAAAAATAGAAGCACCATGAGATTATATAACTGTGAACCACATTTATGGATAGCCCAAGTGTGCATGAATCTTACTCTGCATGGCCAGAGAACAAAAGGGCACCTGCTTCTCATGTTTGAAGAATTTAATACTCATCTCTTCTCACCCAGAGATAAGATGCARACGTGAAATATTCTTAACCTCCAACCCCACTCTGCATCAGCATTCAGTCAATAAAATACAAAGCATCATTTCTATAAAACTTCAAAGAGAAATATTCAGCTTAGGAACCACACAAGTACTTAGACATGGGTTATTAGACAGAATGAGCTTTTAAAAGTTTGTTAACTTTTCCATTTGTTCTTTGAAACATTCTTTTTGGCAAATTTTTAATATACTCAGAGTATCTTCAAAGTCAGATAATTGGCCATAGACTCTTCACTGATGTGTTGTTAATTTTCTAAGCACCTAAATGGAAAATAACAGAAATACATTGAGGTATTTTTAAAATCTAAGTTTTTTTTTAATTTTTTTTATTGTTGGTTGTTCAAAACATTACATAGTTCTTGATATATCATATTTCACACTTTGATTCAAGTGGGTTATGAACTCCCATTTTTACCCCATATACAGATTGCAGAATCACATCAGTTACACTTCCATTGATTTACATATTGACATACTAAAGTCTGTTGTATTCTGCTGCCTTTCCTATCCTCTACTATCCCCCCTCCCCTCCCCTCCCCTTCCCTCTTCTCTCTCTACCCCCTCTACTGTAGTTCATTCCTCCCCCTTGTATTATTTTTCCCTTAAAATCTAAGTTTTAATTCCCATTTGTGCCAAGAATTAGCAGTGAACATTTATGGATCATGCTTTCCCCAGTCTTAGAAATCAAAGATAACCTCAAAGTTCCTTTCTGAGTCTAGCTTTTCAACTGCTGTGAAAAGAAATAATAGTGAACACTGTTCTTAATGCTTTACATGATACTAACTCTTTTGATTTTTCACACAATCACATAAGTAAGTAATATTATTTCCCTTTTTTATAGGTGAGAAAACTGAGGCACAATAAAACTAATTATTATCTTCCAAAGATATTATCTGGCATCTGTTATCTGGCAAATCCAAGATTCAATCCAGGACATATGGCATCAGAACCCTTGCTCTTAATCACTATGCTACACTTCCTAATTTTTCCCAAATAAATATTGTTGAGGAAAGGACTATTGTTGCATCATCCTCAAATGAGCACCCTCCTTGTAGTCTCTGAAAAACTTGCCAGGTACAGAAGAGGATATCTTGGCCAGTCTGAACTCAAAGACCCATCACCTTACTCCTGCTGGTTCCCTTTGAACAGYCGAGTTTCTCTAAGATGGAGCCTCTGCTTACAGCATCTGTTCTCCTCCCAGGCTCCTGGGCAGGACCACCTCAAGGCCTGCCATCAGACAACCAGTCAGCCCACCACAACCCAAAGCTACATTAGCACAACCATTCAGGCCCATCAGGAATTAATGGACAGTGCTCTGCTGTAATTTAATTTCCACAATAAACCTAATGAGAAATTTAATACAAATGTCAAAAGGAATCGCTTAGCTGTTGTCTGAATGCTTTCTCTTGTGCGAACAATTCACTGGGAACTCAACAGAGCTGCTTTTTTTACAGCCCCGTTACAGCAGACTCAGGGAGACCCCTGTGCATTTAGTGTTATTAATAGGTTAACTGGGCACTTAATTAGCAATTAAGTGGTTAGAGCTCCGTGATTGGAAGGTCCCCCAGAAGATTACTTAGCAGAATTAACTGAAGGCTTTTGTCGTCTCCTCCCTAGACACTGTCTACACCCTCCTAAGCAAAGCTGATTCTTAATTGCAGACAGGACACAAACAATAAATTCTCTCCACCAGAGCCAGTGCTGTGGAGCATTCCTGGAGGGCAGGACAGCTCTCCCCAGTGCTGTTCCCTGCTGTCAATGAAGCAACTGCTTCTACAGAGGCAGTTCTTTCCTTGATTGACTGTTTTCATATGTATAGCTGTCTCTGACTCTCCTGCTCTAAACACTGCAGCTCACATTTAAACCTTCAGTCCCTGGTGCTATTACTGGAGCAACACAACAAATTCCCTGTAGCCCCAAAGCTGTTTATCACAGGAGACCAAAGCAGATCTGAAGTATTTACGTATAGCCCTTTCCCGCTCAGTAATAAAGATCAGCCGTACAGAGCTCAGACTCCTAGTTCTTTGTTAAAGCCATAGCAGGACAGAGGTGGAGGCACAGAAACTTACTACCAGGCCATTTTTCCCTGATATCTCTGGGGACCCTCACCCTGCCCTCCCTTATTGAGTTAAAAAAAAAAAAAAAAGTCTGAAGTTTGACTCTGCCCTTGCTAGGTTCCATGCTGTGTGGTCACTGGGGAAGTAAAAGAAAATTAGGCCCTCAAAGTCCCAAAAAAAAAAAAAAAAAAAGTCTGAAGTTTGACTCTGCCCTTGCTAGGTTCCATGCTGTGTGGTCACTGGGGAAGTAAAAGAAAATTAGGCCCTCAAAGTCCCTAGTAATCTAGTAGGCAAGGCAGAGTATAGGCAAATAAACAATTCAGTGTCACCAACTCTGCCAGAGTGAGCCAGGCACCTATTACCTGTTAGATATTCCTTACAGCAACCTTGTAGCATCAGTATTATTATCCCATTTGGGCTAAGAAGATGAAAATTCAGAGATTAAGCAATAAATTCAAGGTCTTGCAGCTAAAAAAGAAATAGTAGAACCACTATTTTAATGCAGGTCTACACAAGGCTCTTCTTATCACCCATCATTGCAGTTCCTATACATGCAGGAAAGGAAAACTCTTTTTAATACTGATACAAGGAAATGTAATCAGAAGGTAAATGAGTCTTCTGGGGGCGAAAAATATCATGATGCAGCCCAAAGCCCAATTTGAGTGATTTGGGGATTATCTGTCCATCACTGCTCTCATCCTTGGCATAGGTAGAGTCAGCAGTAATTTTAGATCTGGTGACTACACAGTGACATGTTGACAAGTTTAGAGAATAAAGAGATACACTCAATTCAAATAATATTTTCTGAGTTCTTACTATGTGAATGACAATCTGCTAGAAACTAAGAACAAAGCAGGTAAAAATGAATGTGTAAGTCATAATCTGTGCAGCTAAGGAACATGATCTCAGAAGGAAACTGATATGTGCCTTACAAACCTATGTGTGATATACTGTAATAATATCTAGAGTGCAGAGGAAAGAAGTAACTTCACCTAATCCTGGAACTCTACGAAAGCTTTCCAGTTGGCAAGATGTTCAAGCTGGCTTTGCAAATGGGTATGGGCAGGGGAAGCAGTCAATGAGCAGAAGATGGGAGGTCATCTTGGGATAAAAAAAAAAAAAATCCAGGCTGGGTGCAGTGGTATACACCTATAATCCCAGCAGCTCTGGAGGCTGAGGCAGGAGGATCACAAGTTCAAAGCCAGCCTCAGCAATGGCAAGGCACTAAGCAACAGTGATACCCTGTCTATAAATAAAATAGGGCTGGGGATGTTGCTCAGTGGTTGAGTGCCCCTGAGTTCAATCCCAGGTACCTACCTCCAAAAACAAAAAAGAAAAAGAATCCATAACATAGGTACCTAGAGAAATAGAAGTGCATGTTGAATGGGAGAAGGGCAAGGGTCAGTTTAATGTCAAGAGGAGACAATATTGGTCAAGGGATAATGAAGGCAAGAAGTGTGACTGGTATGGCAGCTAGGCTGGGGTTGGGGGATAAGATTCAGGAAGTTCTGAAATGCCTTTCTAAAGAATTGGACTTTACTCAACAGACAGTGCATCCCATTACAGGATTTTTTAAATGTATGTTTTTTATTTGTTCTAAACAGCTATACATGACAGCAGAATGTTCTTCAATTCATTGTACACAAATGGAGCACAATTTTTCACTTTTTTGTATGCAAAGTAGAGTCACACCATTCATGCAAAATCATATATGTACCTAGGGTAATGATGTCCATTTCATTCTACCATCTTTCCTACCCTCTTCCCTTTCCTCCCTCCCCTTTGCTCAATCCAAAGTTCCTCCATTCTTCCCATGTCCCCACCCCCATTATGGATTAGCATACACTTATAGAGAAAGCATTTGGCCATTGGCTTTTTGGGGATTGGCTTACTTCGCTTAGTATCATAATCTTCAACTCTATTTATTTATCTGAAAATGCCATAATTTTATTCTCTTTTAATGCTGAGAAGTATTCCATTGTGTATATATACCACAGTTTCTTTATCCATTTATCCATGTAGGTGGTTCCACAATTTAGCTATTGTGAATTGTGCTGCTAAAAATATTGATGTGGCTGTGTCATTGTAGTATGCTATTTTTAAGCAACAAAAGTGTTGGCAAGGATGTGGCGGGAAAGGCACACTCATACATTACTGGTAGGACTACAAGTTGGTGCAACCAATCTGGAAAGTAGTATAGAGATTCCTTAGAAAACTTGGAATGGAACCCCATTTGAACCAGCTATCCCACTCCTCAGTCTGTACTTCATTTTTAATGAAGAGCAACAGATATGGAATGCTTAACTCACTTTGAAAAAAACATGGCACTCAAAGAACCATTTCTCCTCCTTTTTCACACATACTCAGAAACCCCTTTCAGGAATGCAAGAGAGGTAATAGGGCAGGAGAATTAGCCAGGAATAAGAAGAATATGGTGAAAGCAAAAGACATCGTGAGCTTCAAACTAACAGGAGTGTGTGGCTACATGTGGTAGGGTATCTGTGGATTCTGTCCTTTCTGACCCTGTATGAGATGAGGAGTCAAGGGGAAAAGGCAGATCTGTGAAAGAGAATGACCCCGATTTGGGCAGATTTAGTTAGTGACAAATATTGGAATATTCATGAGAACTCAAGGCCATGTATCAGGTGATCATTGAAGCCATGGGAGAAAATGGGATTCCCCAAGAGGGAGAAAAAGTGGGCACAGGGAAGGTAAGCCAGGGCAGAGTTCTTCACCCTTCACCCTACTCACCCACCCAAGCTTTATCACCAAGTGGTGACACCTTACTCTTAGAGTCTCTTGTCTCTTGGCCTTCCTGCAGGAAACCTGGATGGGGCCATACTGGTCTATGCCAGGGTCCCCACAGCCTAACACAGTGCCTACTGTGGAAAAAACAGGAGAGTAAGAAAGATGAGGAAGCTGAGGAGGCCGAGGATGGAGACACTCAGACTCCTTGTATTTAAAGTACAGAGTAAAGAAAGGAATAGGGTAGAACAAAGAAGACAGTGGTGAGAGAGATGGTAAAGGAACCAGGAAAGAGCAGGACTCTGTTAAGAAGTAATGGGAAATGCCACTGGATTAGGAGAGAGCCAAAGAGAGTAGCCTGGAGAAAATCCTCCTCAGGTATCATTAACAAGAGCAAATTAAAATTAAGAAAACCTGTGCAGTCTACCTGGCTCTAAGAACAAACCTATCTATTACAGTCTGTTTCTACCACTTGGTTTAAGTATAGCAGCCATTTTGAATTTAATACCATCTTTATTATTATAGATATTTTCCAAGTCATCTAATTCAATTCATATAATACTGTAGTGAAAACATTATAGTCACTACAGTTATACAGTCAGAAAATATATTATTACTATGTAAGTGAAAATCCTGTAGCCAAAATGTTTCCTCCAAATACCACATTAAAGTTATTATGTAAAGTAGCCATTAAAACAGGTCAGAACTACTCAATTATGGCTTTTCAATAAATAGCAAAACACTTTCCTCTGGATTTCAGAAATAACTGAGAACGAAGTTTGACCTCTTTCATTATTTCAATTTTCATTTTCCTTTTTTCCCCTAATCATCAAAAGTATTTAGGCTTTTACAGATAGGTAAGATCTGACCCAGTAGAACCAAAGAATATTTCATAAATGTCTTTCTCTCTTGCAGATGCAAAAGGTATTTAAGAAACTGCCAGGATTCAAAGAGATCCGTGTGTTAGAATTTAGGTAAGTAAGAAAATTGGACTTTTCTCAATTTTTAAATTACTTTCTCTTCTAAAAGTGATGTCGTAGGGATTATAAGGTCACTTTCCCCTCAATTGTTTAGCTCTGCCAAGCCCTAGTGGCTGAATACGTTCCAGATAAAGGAGCCATGTATCTCATTAGAACATGAACATCCTGTAACACCAGATCTAGGCAGTCTGGTTCTTTGTCTTGTGAATTTGAGGAATGAAATCCACGAGAACAAGGGTGAGAGTAAAGTGACAAAATTTATTATAATAATAGAAAGAAAGAAAACAGAAGTCCCAGAGGGGAGGGGCCACAAGAGAAGGATACCAATGGGTGTCTGTAATCTATGGGTTTTAAAAGGCATATCTGATGGCCCAGCACAGGTGATTGGTGGGGTGAGAGATGTTAGCATGAACCAATCAAGCTCTCTAAACTCTGAGTTTAATAAGCCAATCACACATGCATGATTTTAATCTCTTATTTACATCATTAGGATGGACCTTATCTGATAGTTTATGTCATGTCTGATAGAGGAAACATTTTGGATGGGGGTCTACTTATGGTAGACCCTTGTGGGGGGTAAGGGCAAGGGTAATAAGGAAGGGCTGCTGTGGTTGCTGTTGTGAGGAACACAAGCAGGTATTCTAGGTCAGAAGAAGGCATGTGGTTAATGCTGGCAGGGAACAGCGAGTCACAGGATGTCTTTCAGACCCAATATCTCCTTTCATGTTGGTATGAAGTCCCCTTTCCTTCCTGGGCTTCTCCAAGGCCTTTATCTTGGCTGCCTGTGGGAGATCTAACTTCCTACCTCAATCCCATGATGTTTTCAGGAGTGGCACAGGAATTTTGTTACTCTTTCCAGGAGTCAGAAACAATTTTTAAATTGTTTAGCTCTGCCAAGAGTGCCCTGTACAGAGCACTCAACTGCTTGTCCTTGGCAATGTTATTAATGAACCTCTTGAGAAAATACCTCAGGAGAGACAAATCCAAAAAAAGGAGCAATTAATTTGCCTTCGTGTCAAATTGCATGGTTTCCTATCAAAGGTTACATATTATCTTGGGTTTAACAAATCGTCTTACTCAGGAGAGAGAGGCAAACCCAATGAAAAGTGGAGGCAGAGGGGTGGAAGGAATGGGGTGGACAGGGTCAAGGGTACAAAAAGACTTCTCAAAGTATACCTTTTATATTATTTTAATATCTGAACCATAGTACTGTATTACCACTCAAAGGTTATTAAATTAAAATGTTAAATATGAGAAACAAAATCATAATGTAATACCACAATAAAGCAGGATCATGCTCCCAACACCTTGGCAGGAACAGACCAGTAGCCCCATCCTGACACTCCAATGCAGGTGTGTGGATTTAGGCAAGAAGTTCTCTTTATTCTACAGGTAGGGTCATAAGATGGTTTGATTTTGTTTCTGTTTGTTTGTTTAACAATGTGCAGGAGGGGCAAATACTTGCCCTGGTATGAGCAGAATGCAGTTCCATGAGCAGAAGGGAGAGAACAGAAGGGAGAGAGCAGCCACATTGGAAGTTCCTCCAGGAGCTTCCCTATCTATGAGGAAGAGCTTCTAGGAGCACTTCCAGGTGATTTCTTGCACAGTTGTTGGGCCGCCTGATTCATATAACTCCAAAGAAAGAAAATGTTGAAAAACGAAAGCTATAAAAGATGAAACTCTTGACATTTACCAAAACAAACTCATTTCTCTATATTTCAAGATGCTGCTCTGCAGTATTCCATGTGAAATCAGATGGATTAGAGAAAAATAAAAAGTGATAGGAGAATATTTTGCATAGTTGGTAAGGCCTTCTGAATAAACTACTACAGTTAAAGAATAAATTTTTAAATCTAAAGCCAAAGGAAATGATGGAAATGGTTCTCCTGATGAATGATTAAATGCTGATTGTTCCTTCCCTTTAGCAAATGAAAAAACTAATCTAAAATAAGCCTATTGCATCAAGAAACAAAAATGTTAGGTGATGAAAATTTTCAAAGTAAAACTTTTAAACGTATATCTCTGGAAGCAGAGTCTTTCCCAAGTGTTTATCTCTGTCAGGATTTATTCTTGCCAAAGATGCTTATAAGTAAGTTTGATCACATTTTCCCAATGATGTTAACTATGTCATAAGACTACAATCCAGCAGAAAAGTATTTTGGCTCCTGAATAGAATAAATGATATGTTTGTGAGCAAGACAAACTTTTGGTCATCAATAAGAATGCTCAGTATATTGCAAATAAAATTTAATATGAAGGAAATTGTTTCCTCATAGGGATAGATCTCCATAGAAGACTCAAAACTCAGAGTCTTATACTGTCTTTACTTTAGCTCATTTGTATAAAAGCTGATTTATACTCTCACAAGTACTATTGTATCAGAGACATCATTTTATTCTCTTAACACAACTGGAAAATTAAGACATCTATTATTATTTTCACTGTTTAAATACTTTAACCATAGTATTTATGTGTAAAACTATATTTATCTTTACTGTAAATTATTTTTACTGTTAAAATTTAACAGTAAAGGTAAAATATTGCCTTATCCCGGATAGCAAATGTAGTAAACTATTCACAATCACTCAATATAGTTGGAGTGTACACTCTTTCAAAAACAGGTACGCAAATGTTCATAGCAGCTTTACTTGTAATAACCAAGAACTGGAAACAACCAAAATATCAATCAACAGAGCAGTTGACCAACAGTAGCAGCATATTCTTATGACAGACTCCTTTTCAACAAAGAAATGAACTATTGGAAGATACAATAACATGGGTCTATCTCAAAATAATGATGTTAAATGAAAGAAAACAAACAAAAATACATTATAATCCCATTTATATTAAATACTAAAAACTGCAGACTGATCTATAATGACATTAAACAAATCAGAAATTGCTTAGAGATAGTGGAGAGAGATGGAAAAGAAGGATTACCAAGGGGCATGATAAAGCATTGGGGTAAAGAATATGCTCCCTGTCTTAATTGGGGTAATGGTTTACAGGTGGATAGTTTCAAATATATCAAATCATATGCCTTAAATATGTCTGGTTGGTTTATGCAATGATATGTGAATAAAGCAATTTTTTTAATTAGCAGGGCTAGAGTCTTGGCCCAAGAAGCCTGGCCTCTCTCCTGAGCTTCATGCATCACAAATTATTGTTGGTCCTGTTGAATATCTACCTGGTAGAGAAGTAAATCTCTCCCTACAGAATAGGCTAGTTAAGTAGTCATAGATTCTTTCTGAAACCACAGAGGACAAGTGGTAGCATGCCTGTAACATGTCCACTGGAGTCATATTACATCAGAGGAAGAAAGCTAGATGAATTCATTGTTCAGGCAGGAACACCAATGACACTAATGCCATCTCATGGGTAGTGTCTTTGTGAGCAACTATTTAAAATTTTGAAAACTGAATATAGCTTCTAAAGTGAATTCATACATACCCAGAGGAGTCTAAGATATATCTTTCAGTTTTGGCAGCCAAAGTGCCTTTTCTCAGGCAATCAGCAGGTGGTGGTGGTATGGCAAAATGAGCCCAGGCAAGGGCAGATGAGCCAGAGTTTGAATCCTACCTCTACACATTCCAAATGATACTTTCCCTATCACTTCATGTTCCCATATCATGTGAAAATTGTGCTGTTGAAAAAATTAAATGAGAACACATATGAACTGCTTGGTACATAGCACCCACTCAGTAAACAGGTGCTGGATTTCTTTGCAAGCTGTCCCATGGTGAATTGAACCAATCCCTCAAAGTTTATGGATCAAAGCAACTCAAAATATAGCCAATAAAACATTAGATCTAGGGTTGAACATCAGGTAAATTATCTTTAGGCATAAAGTAATCACCTAATGCTATTTAGGAGGCGAGAAACCCATGAATAAAATATGTTTTAAGAACTTCCTGGCTGGCAATAGCACCACTCAAAATGCATAGGATATACATGCAGCCTATTTAAGGAACAATATGAGGAAATAAAGGAGTTTAGGRGAAGATCATAAGAACATACAGTATTTTGAGCAAAAATTCAAATTCTAATAGAAATATCATGTAATGATGTTTACATCTGAGATTCATATAGCTGTCAATATTTCCTTCCAAATTCTTTTATTATTATTATTTTTTTATTAGTTGCTCAAGACAATACAATGATCTTGACATATCATACATTTGATTCAAATAGGGTATGAATTCTCATTTTTCCATGTGTACTGTTTATATGTGTCCTTCTAAGCTTTGGACAAACATGAGAAACTATGCAAAAATAATTTTATATATGAAATAATTCATTGAATGACTCAATAAATATCTTAAAACTTTCTCTCTCTTGCATGTTTCCATTGTATGTGATGAAATGAAGACCAAAGAAAGAAACAAATGGGTAATTTGGGTTTTTTAACTTTTAAAATATAGCATGGTTTCCTCCACAATTTGTATGTTGACTGTGTACTAATAATTCTTACATATAATACCTGAGATGTGCCAATGAGTTTTTAATGGTTTCTTATTTAAATGGAAGTAATTTTAAAAAAAAAAACCTCTCCAGTCAAAAATCACAATGAGAGATAAGCTGTGAAAAACTGACCTGATCAGCCAAAAAGGATTCTATAAAACTCAGGGTCTAATYAGAAAAACATTTTTTGTTTTACTAATTAGACCTTGAGTTTTATAGAATTATTTTTTTCTAATTTTATAATTCTAATATTAAATGAATATCTAAGGTACAAGCATGATTTAACTATTTCTTAAAGTTAACTATTTCTTAAAGGTTCTTTGTAATGGGAAGTTGTCTGTGCATACATTACAGGCAACCAACCTAATTCTGGAATAAAGTAGAAAAACTAATTTGCTCCTTTATTCCAAGGTCAGTTTGAACTGGGAAAAGGACCCACTATACCTTGGAGAGTTCAATAATAAGAAGCTCTGTCTCCTCTAATTGACTAGTGAAATAATGAACTGTAGACTCTGACTGATTGTGTGGTCTGAAGAACTGCCAAGAATACACATTATCAGTTCCCATGGCCTTTAAACCACTCCTGCATCCCTCTGTGTAGATTTATGACATGAACCATAAAGTAAAACCTGATTTTTGAGGACAGAGCTATAGAGAATCTTGTTTCATTTTTATGTGCAAAAGGCATTGAATAATAAAAATGATAATAAATACAGTAATTGTATAAAATGTATTACTTAACTCCCTATTTTCTTACATATTCTGTTATTTTATTTCGTCCTGTGGCTATTTCATTTAGAGTATTTTTTATTAAAAAATACTTCATGAAAAAGGTAGAAGAGAAATGGTCTTAAAAACTGAAGTTTTGACTTGATTAGAATATGCATAGCCTAATGTCCCACTATTTTGTGCTATATTGCTATTTCATAAACCTTTGTAAAGAGGATTAAAAGAATCGGTACTTCATCCTCTTCCTAATTATTACAGCATGACTTTTAAGACCACCAAAAACACTGTCAATTAACATTGGATAATTAGCTTTTTCAAAAATACCTAAAGTTTAAAAAAATTTAAAAAAAGAAATCCATGGATTCAGATTGACTTCTTCAAGCTCAACTTAATCCCAATTCTGACATTCTCTTTCAGAACTAAAATATGTCAATACTTTTTCTACATGTCAAATGTCTGGTAAACACTGAAATGTTTTATGTGGAATGTTCCTTAAGATCCTATAGAAAAGAGTTTGAAGCTGTCCTGAAGATTTGTAGCAACATAGTGACTGTCTTTAGAGGCATGTAACAATGACTTTGAGTGGAATGTGTCCTCTGCTGTTCACAGTTCAAGTTCCATAGAGATGCAACTTACGGCCATCTTTAATAAAAATGCTGCAGAAGCAAAAAGACCCACCGGTGACCTCCTATCATTTGATTCCAACAAAATTGAAACTGAAGGACTCCACCAGGGAACCATGGAGGAGAACAAGCAATCAGAAATCTATCTCACAATCACAGACCTCAAAAAACTGATCAGCAGAGTACTAGAGGAAGACCAGTCCTTGGATATGGGAACAATTCAGTTCACTGATGGTCAGTTGATGATTTCATGGTTCTAAATTTATCCTCATTCTGACAGAGAGGCTAGGAAGTGTGAGTGTCTCATGGAAACTCATTTTAATGTAGGCCTTATAAAGTCAATGATTACTGAGGCAGGCACATCATGTGTGGTATCATTTCTATCTGTCTTCACTTCCTTCTGTGTCTTGTTTGTGAGCCTTTGGTGACCACTCTGTACCAAGAATAGCTCTAGGAAAATCCAAGTTTTTCAATTCAGCCCAGGTCCACTATTGTCATCCAGTGGAACCAAGACAGACAAAAGAACCCATGAATAATTTTATTCACCTTGCATAATCTAAATTGATTCCCTCATCCAATAAATTGTTTGGTCATAGAAGGAAACAGATGGCACATTCAAATTAGAATCATTTGATGAGAATTTGATAAAGGAACTATTCACAAGAGTTTGCCTCTAGTCAAAGGAACAGGGCAGTTTCCTACATGTAGAAGCAGCAAGGCCTCATTCCTACCTCCCTAATGATCTAAGCCATCTCAAAGACAGAAGGCAAGGAACCATTGATGCAGTCTACATAAGTCAATCTTCAAAGACAGAAAGTTAAAGGGATAGGACTAGTAAATGAATCTAAAGAGGTCAACAAGATAAACAGACACACTCAAGATCTTCAGAGGGTGCCTGGAGAGACCCAGGAGATTGGAACTGCCCAGCTGGTTCAGAAGACAGTATAATAGATAGAAAGGGAGGTCATTTTAGTATCACATGGCACAGTACTGTCATTCTTTTCCAGTTATTTTTTTTTCTGATTCAGATAGGCAAACTATTAACACTGAAAAACTTCTCAAAGATCCCTGAGACCTGATGCAGTGTCCCAGCAGGAAACAAGGTCAGATCCTTACTGTGACAGGTATATCATGTACCTCCAAGGCAAAAGAAGGTCAACCTTAGTGTCTTCTCAAAAACCAACTGATAATCTGGGTTTGCCTCATAGTTGAGCCTTCTGGGATATTCTGAGAATTAGGTTTAAGAGAGGAAATAGGACTCCACAAATTGTCTGTGACTCCAGTATTTATGCCAGCCATTTATTTCTTTGTCAGTTCAGTCATATTTTTATCCCCACTGGCCTACTCAATCAGTCTCAATGCTTGTCCAGAATCTGTAGAATAGAACTGAACATCCTAAAAATCGACCCTAAGAACTTTTCCTTTAAAAATATCATTATTTTTAATTGACATAATAATTATAATACATATATATATATATATTTAATCATGGGATACAATATAATCATTCAAATATTCATTATGTAATGATCAAATTGTGATAATTAGCCTATCCATTACTTCATACATTTATCATTTCTTTGTGATGAGAGGATTCAAAAACCTCTCTTCTAGCAAATTTTGAAATGTAAAATACATTTAACTAAGTCATCCCACTGAGCAATAGAACCCTAGCACTTATTCCTCCTATCTGGCCCATCTGTATCCACTGACCGGCTTCTTTCCACCATCACACCCTTCTTATCAAACAAGGATGCAAGATGCAACTCTTGTATTTGTCCTTCAATGAGCCAATCATATTAATGACCAAGTAGTCTATGCAATGCTGATTTCTTTTTTTAACATTTATTTTTTAATTGTAGTTGGACACAATATCTTTATTTATTTATTTTTATGTGGTGCTGAAGATCAAACCTAGGGCCTTACATGTGCCAGGCGAGCACTCTACCACTGAGCCACAACCCCAGCCCTGCAATGCTGATTTCTTAATGATATGTTGTACTTCGCATTAAGAATTGGCTATTGTCAATTACTATTTCCAACCTAGTTTTATTGTTCCAATTATAAAAGAAAAAAATAAATAGTCAAATCTTGTGATTTTTCACCCACAGAAGTTTTACCATCACCAGTCTCCAAACCTGACACCCAGTCAGGGTTGTTCACACCCCTTGCTGATGTCATAAAGGTGAGTGCATTTGTTGTCCTTTTGTTCAAATGGAAACAAAGCTTCAAAACCTTCCATCACACAAAATCAGTTTTATGAACTGGATAGAGAAAAATTCCCATTGCAATGTTAATTATAATACTCTGTTTTTACAGTCTGTGCTTGGTTTAACCCACTTCCAGTAACTGTATTAATAAAATATAATTCAACTTGCATTTCAAATATTCTAAAATTCAAAGTTTTCTTGAATTTGGCTAGATCTTCATTTCAATTAGAGTGAAGTTGTGCTCCCTCTTTGATAAAACAAAYGCATTTTTATGAACAAAAAGAATAATTAAAGCAGAATATATTATTTAACTTTGATTTTCAGAAATAACTGGAAAGGTAAACATACCTTATAAATTTACTTTTAATTCTTAAAGTCTTACCTACATATTTATTTATGGGAGGTGGTGAATTCAAATTAATATCTTAGAAAGTAAAAATAATAAGTAGTAATTTTGTACTTAAAGCTACATTAATTTACTTTGTGCCAGAAGTTATCACTAAAGTGTTCATAAATGAAAGTGTTGACTATGCTCTAGTACCTTTTTAAAAAAAATACTTTTTCTAGTAGATGGACACAATGCCTTTTATTTTATTTTTATGTGATGCCAAGGATGAAATCCAGTGCCTCACATGTGCCAGGCAAGCGTCTCTGCCAACTGAGCCACAACCCCAACCCAATATTCCCTTTTAAAATGAAAGAATTGCAAAGTTGGAACAAAATAGATGCAATTCAAATTGTTAATAATGAGCCTTTTTCAGACTAACCAGTTAGCCAAAAAGCAATAGATCATGTAATAGATCACTATACCAGCTCATGTTACCCTTACAAGATATATTTTTAAATCAGAACCTTCCTCTGTAGTAAATGTATGCTAACTACAAAATGATTTGCTTACATTTAGATGAAAATATGTAAAATATGGATTATAACCCTTCTAATGTATGGTACATGTTCTGATTCAACTTTTCTTTCTAAATCCATTCTTCAGGATGTTACTTTGAGTCCAGAGCTTCCTCTTATTGAACCCAGGGTTGATACAGTCGAGACAGAAGGACCTGGCCAACCTGGTGAGTTTCTTTGCACAAAGTCAATGATAGATGACAACATTCTTTGTTAGGAATCCATCTGCAACACTACCTCAAAAACAAGCGACCAAGTCATCTTCCCTCCAAGAGAAGATTTGTTCTCACCAGCACTTCAAACAGAAGAGCTGTCCAATGAACTGGCTTCTGAGGAGCAGGATACCCAGTGTCCTCTCTCAGCCCTAGTTCCCATCCCACAGTGAGTACTGACAGCCCTTTCCTGACAGATCTGGTGAAGGAAGCTGAAACCAAAGCATCACCAACTGCTCCCCACTCAGAACATCAATCTCTTTTGGCTTTGAAATTGAGTCAGTCAGGACAAGGTAAGTTACAAGGCCCAGGTTCATGATGCAGGCTATGGCAACAGAGGATTGGGCCCTGATTTTCAGTATATTGTTCTATATGCCACAATCAAATGGGCCATTTATGCTGAACAACAAATAAGAAAGTTGATACTCACAAGTCCTTTAGATTCACTTTTGAATTTCCAAGAACTTCAAAAGGCAATAGGATCAAACTTTCCTACTTAAAAAGAAATCTTCAGCAATATGTAAAGACCTTGGAGAAAGGGACTGAAATATCTGCAGAAGAACCTTTTTCAGTTTAATAAGTAGATGATTTAGTGCTCAACAACCCTTATTCTTTCCATTTTATAGTGGTCTCTGGTAAAACTACAGGTGAAAATTTCTTTTAAGAAATACAGGTCCCAGGATATAGGCCTGATAAGGATGCACTGTGATTCTAAGTGTGAATACCAGAAGAGATTTGTTATGTCTGGTCTTTGTTGTTGTTGTTGTTGTTGTTGTTGTTGTTACTGGTGATTTAACCCAGGGGTGTTTTATCACTGAGCCACATCCTCAACTCTTTTTATTTTTATTTTGAGACAGGGTCTCACTAAGTTGCTTAGAGCTCACTAAGTTGCTGAGGCCATCCTTGAATTTGTGTTCCTCCTGTCTCAGCCTTCCAAATCTCTGAGATTATAGGCATGCACCACTACACCCGGCCAGTGACTGGTATTTTAAACAGGAGCATTACTGTTTTAATTAGGGCTTTCTTTGCAAAATTATACATCAATCTTATTGTCCTCATAAATGTTGTATGAAATTGATATGCAATTTTATAGAATACAGGTTTTTTCAGGAATGCTTATATGTACTGATAGAAGAATCATCTATACAATTGGATTTGTTTTATTAGATCAATAACAAATAATGCAATATAGTTATGTATTGCTGTGTTACATCATTTCTAAAATGAATGACTCAATATGGCCACTTATTTTTCCTTTAAATCTGAAATTTTGTCAGGGATCAGTGAGGGCAGCTCTTCTCTGCTCCATGTGTACCAGCTAGAATATCTCAATTGGTGTTGAAGATCCATTTTCAAGATGGATCACACACTTGGCTAGCAAGTCAGTTCTCAACCAGAGCTATTGGCAAGAGCCTCATTTGTTCTCTATAAGGCTTCTCCATGGGGCAGCTTGGGCTTCCTCATAGCAGAGCAGCCAGGTTGAAATAGTCAGCATCCCATTCTCTTAAGGGCCCAGAAATAGCATATTTTGCTCATATTTTGATGGCTAAGCAGTTGCAGAGAGCCCTTCTATATTCAAGGATTAAAAAAAAAACAAAATGGAACTTATCTTTCAATGGGACAAGTACCGAGGAATTTTTAGCCACTTATAATCAACCACATGTTGACTTCCAAATCATTTGACGGGTAGTTGGACACAACACAACACACTTTTTGGCCAAAGGATTGAAATTAAATGCTCACTAGATTCTTCTCTTTCATTTTAATATCATAAAATCCAATTATAAAATCAGTAATTCAAGCAGACCAGTAAAAATTAAAGGGTATCTATGAAAAAAAATACTGTATTTTCAAAATTGCTTTGCTATTCTTGCTTTATTTTCACATTCCTTCTATCCATGAATGCACCACAGAACACTAAAGCTAGAAGGAATCCCAGAGGTACTTTGGTTAAGCCACTGTGTCACAGATAAGAAAACCAAGACTAGAGATGTAAAGTCACTTGCTCAAGCTTACCCCAGAGATGATCACAGAACCAAGTCCATCATTCAAGTTTTCTCCACCATATTTGGCTTAAGCAGCCCCAACCTTTAAAGAAATAAACTTAAACATGCTATAGCCTCTTCTTTATTTCAGTCCTTTTGTCAATTTTTTGAAATGTTCCAGGTTTCTGAGTCTCTACTATCTCACCTCCTAGTCACAATCAGGTTTTGCCTCTAACCCAACGTTACAGACACTCAACTACATAAAAGTTGCAGATGACTTCTTAACTGATCAATTAGCAGCATCATTTCAATCTTCACTTTATGTGACATTTCTGTCATGTGGCTCTTGTTGACTGTTTCTTTCTTGAAATTTCTTCTTCATTTGGTTTACACAAAATGATTACTTCATTCTTCTTCCACTCCCTACTCCTTGTTCTCCATCTCCTGCACTTGGACTTGTTTTACATATTTTTATGTGTATATTAAAAATCTGTTTCATTTTAAAAAAAAAGTTGTGGCATTTTGCAGACATGCATGGAGTATAAGATTCATTTTAAAGAATCAAAAGAATAATGGAAGAGAACTAAGATGAGTCTATTTGTGAAAGTGAAATATTTTGGAAGCTGATGTGGGGTTAGTTGCATAGCATTGTGAATATACTAAATATCACTGGATCATTTACTTTTGAATGGTTGACTTTGGGGATGGGGGTGTAACTCAGTAGTAGAGCACTTGCTTTGCATAAGCAAGATTCTTGGTTCAATCCCCAGAGCCTACAGATACCTAAAACACCACAAATAATAACAATAATAATAATAACAATAATAGCAATAAGAAGAAATAAAAATAAAACAACTGATTTTATATTGTGAGAGTTTCACCTCAATAAATTTTTTTCAAGAAATCAGATGATGCTGTAGAGAAAACTATATAAAAATGAATATCATAAAGTTATATAACAGCTTCAGGTGGTTCATGAATTTGGCTCTGAGCTTCTGAGCAGGCTGTGCAAGAAGGAAAACACCATCAGTCATGTAATTTAGATCTGCATGTTTACAGCATGGAAATTACTTAGAAGAAAAATTACTCTTTTGGTTCCATAGCAGGAAGATGGTCTGGATTATGATTGAACTAGATCCTGTCTGCATCAGCCTCCCTGCTGTGTAAAATCAGTGTCAAGCATTTCCTTTGAGTCCCCCACTGGAGATATGCAATAAATACCAAAGCCCACGTCATTACAGCAGATCTAAGAGAGGTGGAGTTCTGACAGCCCACCTACATAGAACTGATTTGAGAGTAATTAAAGGAATGGATTGCTGCATAACCTTTAGGCAATGCTCTGTAAGTAAAAATTATACCTCATAACTGAGATCTTGGTTATTATTGAGCAAAAAAAGAGTTTTATTTGCTGACGTGGGCCTAGGGTGCAAATATTCTATGTTGCCAATTAAGGAGAGATCCATATGCTTTCATAATCAGCCCAGCTGGGAATAAAAATGCCATATCCTAATGAAAAATGGAGACCTAATCAGGAAATTTTCCTGATGTTTTTAAAATCCCACTTTTATTCTATGAAGAGCAAAACAAAGAGTACCCTAAAAAAGAACCAAGCCTTCCTTCCCTCAAACAATCCTGGATCTCTTCCATGCATAGATAAAATGAGAATCAGGCCTCCAAAGTACTGCACCATGATATTACTAAGATAATTTTACCCTGGAAAATTTCTAAAGGTTAGTGTCACAAATGCCCACCAAGCCATTAGAATTTCGGTAAAACACTCCTGTAAATCTTTCAATTTAAGCAGTTTAATTTAGTAATTAATTCTCTGAGAAAAAATTACTCGCAAAATATGCCTCTAGAACACCAAATGTATTGGTATGTTGTATAACTGTGAGGTCTTCTAGTATTAATATTTTTTAAGAGAGTTGACCCCAAGCCATTCATTCTTGCAGAGCCAGTTATCTGTTAAGATTACGTATAATTCATGAAAGTCAGAGTTATGAACATATAGAAGAAATTCAACATCTTGTCCTCTGCACAACATGCATCCAGCTCATTCAAAAATAGCATCCAATCATGCAGGTAGAAATTGTTTTGTGGATTGGTTTGGCTTAACTGTGTGTAGGCAGCAATGCATTCCTGGTTTTGCTCATTAGAATGRTCATCTGTTCTAATAACAAAAGGTATTTAGTGTAATTTTCCAAATTACAGACATTTTTCACTTACAAGACATTTCATTTAAAATACATTCAGGTTTCTTAATAATTTGCAATATTTTAAGTGAAGAAGCAAACTTTCGGCAGAGGTATTGTCCTTTTGGACATTTTGTTGTCTTTCATTTCCTATATGGGTAATATGTTAAAATCAGTACACATTTTCAACTCCTGTTATTCTCTCAGCCTTTGACTTCATCAAAACGAGTCAGTGAGATGGGAGCCAAGTTGAATGACCTCAGTATAGCACCTGAATGTTAATGTTCCATAAGGTCAAGGACTGTGGTCTGTTTATTCAGTACGATCTTTTCAGAGCCTATCCAGATGCCCAGCATGAACTAGACAGAAAATTAATATATGTTGAGTGAACTAAGGAGGTAAGTAAATGAATGTGTATTATAATACCTCCATGAAAGTCAGAATTGATGGAAACAATCTATTTTCCTTTTTAATCTTTCTACTAAGAAGCTCGGAGCCAAATCAATGGTCCAGAAACAGCATTCTGCTGTTAGTTCTGATCAGACCACTCATCATTGCCAAAATATGTCATCCATTGTCATGTATTTTCACCTTTATGCAGTTTAGTTTTTCTGGTGCCTATAAAAAAAGGAATAAGAACATGTCCTTTCACTTCAGCAAAATTCAGCCTGGGAGGATCTTCCAGGATGACCTCCAATCATACTTTAAGTTCCAGTTAGCCTGCCACCTTTTGGGAAGCTTTCCCCAACTGCTCCCTTAAAAGGATTCATAAATACCA